TCTTTACCTTGATTATTTTCTCTGACGGACATTTGACCTCCCTCACTAACTGCCTAGAGGAATTTAACTCTGGGTATGGATAATTTACATTTGTAAGTGAAATCTCCATTTGTAAAGGTATCTCCCTCTCTGTACTGGGAAGAAGGCAGATGACCTTATCTCTAAAAACTCTTAGCAGTATGGAAAGAGAGGACTTAAATCGGCATACTCTTGTTTTGTGTGTGTGGGGAAGATCAGCCCTGAGCTAACATCCGTTGCCAGTCCTCCTCTTTTTTACTGAGGAAAATTGGCCCTGGGCTAACATCTGTGCCTATCTTCCTCTACTTTATATGGGACGCCGCCACAGCACGGCTTGACAAGCGGTGCGTCAGTGCGCGCCCAGGATCTGAACCCCGGGCCGCTGCAGCAGCGTGGCCCCCACTGCGTACTCTTGATTGCTGTGCTTTCTGGTAATCCCCCATAGCTGTCTCCTCCCCCACCCCCAACATCCTCCTTTGTCTTTGTCTAAATCTATTTAAGGTGAAAACCTCCGCCATTGGCTGAGAAACTCAGTTTCCCTGGTTTCTCCCGTGTATATATGTTACTAAATTTTCTTTGATTTTCTCCTGCTATTCGGTCTCATGTCAATTTAATTTGTAGCCCAGCCAGGAAAGACACACAGTGGGTAGAGGATACTCTTCCTCCACCTTCACTAGCAACCTGGGAACCATCTGGGTCTTCCTCCTACCTCCCCCTCTGCATCCAGTCAGACCCTAAACACTGCCACTTACACGTGCCGTTTCCCAAATCCATCCCTCCTGTTCATCACTTGCCTAAATTGATACCGGCCCAATACAAGGTTGACATAAGGGAAGCCGTATGGTAGAAAAGAAACCATACTGTAACTTAGAATGACCTCTGACTAACTCTGGATTTCATGGCCCCTCCCACATGCTATAAGTTGATAACTTTGTTCTTTTGAGTTCCTTAGGAATGTGATGACCCCCAGGCGGAGAGTCTATGCTGATAGCCATCATCAATGACAACCGAAAGGTCAGGGGAGAGGGCGTTGCTCCAACCTCTGATGCGTATCAAGTAAAGCAAAGGATGCCAGAAACTAAGAGCAGATGGATGCCCCACCCTGAGACCAGAGGCCTCTACCCAGAAATCAGGTGGATGCCCCAACTCTGGGACCAGATGCCTCCCCTACTCAGAGACCAGCCCTCTATGTAACTGGCCTGCAGTCTTTGTTCTGTAAGATGGTTCTTTCAGACATTAGTCGGCCACCTTCCCTCTTGCTAGCAAGCTTTCTCCCCTACCACCTTGCCTCTTGACTACTGGCGTGTCTCGCAGCGTGCGGAAGAACCCCCTTTTCGGGCGGTAACAAAATCATTGCAATAACTTTTTTACTGGTCTCGCACGCCTCTTTCCCAACCAGAGAGAGCTTTCTAAACACACATTTGATCCTCATGACTCACGGGTTCCGTATTTGTGAGTTCATCTACTCACTAAAATTTATTTAACCCCCAAATCAATACTCATGGTGCTTTCACAGTCATTCATGCACGTGCACAGAGCAGGAAAAATCTGAGCTCCGCGACGTGCCCGTTCCCAGCCGAGGCTGAGCGAGCCGACACTCCGCCTTCTTGTTTCAGCTCCGATACTATAAACAAATGTCCTATTTGAGGTCAATGGATTGCCACTTTTTCGCATTTTTGTGCTTTTGGAAGGTGATTTTGCTGTGTAAACTGGCCCCCAAGCGTAGCACTGAAGTGCTGTTTGGTGTTCCTAAGTTCAGGAAGGCTGTGATGTGCCTTAGGGAGAAAATACGTGTGTTACATGAGCTTCGTTCAGGGGTGAGTTATAGTGCTGTTGGTCATGAGTTCAGTGTTAGTGATTCAACAGTGTATATTAAATAGGGTATCTTTAAACAGAAACACATAAAAGGTTATGTATTGATCAGTTGATGAAAATGTTGCAACCAGAGGGAACCTAACCCTATATTTCTCCCACTGACAAAGGTTCGGTATTTGCTAATTCAGTGTTTGTGGTGACTTTACAGAACATAACTACCATGATTAATGAGAATCGACTGTACCAATCCGACGTGTAGCTTCCTCCCTTCCCCCAGGCCTCCTTCAGCACACAAGATAAATACAAACTCCTTAGCATGGAGTTCCAGGTCTTTCACGATCCAGAAGGTCCTTGCCTAGCTTTCAGGCACCGTGCCTTGTGGTGCCCCCAACACTTCCCCTTGTCCACTCTCTAAAGCACTGCCATCATCTTTCACAGAGGTCCTCTGCACAATCTGTGCCCTCTGCCACAAAGGCCTCTCCTCTTCGTGAACTCCTACACATCCTTCAAGACCCAGCTTAAATGTCACCTCATCTGGGTCTCCCTCTGGCAAAACTTGACATGCCCTTCTCTGTTGTAGGTCTCTTATAGCACTTCTCACGATGTTGTACCTGATCCATTCCCGTGTCCCCTCTCTCCTGTACTTGGCAATAGTTTTTTGGGAAGAACGTGGAGGGGGAGAGATGTGCGTGAACCCCTTTGCAGGGTGTGTGCATTTCATACATCACTCATTCCATAGACATAAATAGAGACCTAACTTGGTACCAGGCACCTTTCTAGGCACCAGATACAGCAGTAAGCGAAAGGAAGCACCGTCCCACGTGTGTGCAACCCCGTGCCCGTTAAGTGTGGCCCGTGTGTGCGTGCAGGACTGCTGTGCTTGCTATGGACCTGCGGGGTGTGTGGCTCCTGGACGACCCGTCCACTGAATTCTGTGACCTGCTGATAAAGGGCGGCCTAGAAGTTAATTAGGCCTAGAGGCTGAGTCTGTGTTCCCGTGAGAAACCCTCCCGGGCGCTCCCTGTCCGCCCTCCCTCCTCTCAGACAGTCACTGCCTGGCCCAGGTTTTGCCTTTTTAACTGAAAGACAACATCCATCCACGTGAGATTTCCTCCGGTGAGTATGTGCGTCTCCCGCTCCCTTCTCTGCCTTCACTACATCCCGGAGAGAAAAGGCACAGGAATAAGGAGAGGGGGAGGAGATCGCTTCTTGTGAGCACCCACCATGTGCCAGGCGTGTGCGGGCAGGTCACATGGGTCAGAAGCAGTCGTAGAAAGGGCTTTTTTTGTGCCAGGCACCGTTCTAGCACTGTTCTCTGCGGGCCGGGTAATCAGCGTGCCACCCCGACGAGTGAGGCAGTGTTACTGTCTCACGGTACAGATAAGAAACTGAGGCACTGCACAGGGAGGAAGGACAGAATGGGATTCAGGCCAAGCAGCCTGTGCTCAGTCACTGTGCTGCATGGCGTCAGTGTCTCCTCAGGACGCCCTCATGGGCATGCAGTGTCTCACTGTACACGGGAGAAATAGATCTGACGGTAGCAGAGGTGAGACTCAAAGCCAGGGGAATGGGACTCCAGGTGGGGATGGGGTAGGAGACCCAGATGCAGGGGTGGGGCTCCAGATGCAGGGGTGTGGGGCTCCAGATGCAGGGGTGAGGGCTCCAGATGCAGGGGTGAGGGGCCTAGATGCAGGGGCGTGGGGCCCAGATGCAGGGGTGAGGGGCCCAGATGCCGGGGTGTGGGGCCCAGATGCAGGGGTGAGGGGCCCAGATGCCGGGGTTTGGGGCCCAGATGCAGGGGTGTGGGGCCCGGATGCAGGGGTGAGGGGCCCGGATGCCGGGGTGTGGGGCCCGGATGCAGGGGTGAGGGGCCCAGACGCCAGGGTGTGGGGCCCAGAGGCAGGGGTATGGGGCCCAGATGCAGGGGTGTGGGGCCCAGATGCAGGGGTGAGGGGCCCGGATGCAGGGGTGTGGGGGTCCAGATGCAAGGGTGTGGGGCCCGGATGGAGAGGTGTGGGGCCCGGATATATGGGTGTGGGGCCGAGATACAGAGGTCCCCTGCCTTAAGGCAGTTCCCTGAAATGCCTCCCTCAACAGACAGGGAGGCAGCTGCTCTGGACAGGACTTTCCCAGTCCCAGCCCCTTCACCCTCAAGGCCATTCTCACATCAGTGTGACTCTGGGCCCCCATTGTGTGCCTGCCCCAGGTGGGGAGACCCTGCTCAGCCTCCTCTGATCTGCTCTTTGTCTAGCCCAGCACCAAACACCATACCTGGCACACAGCAGTGCCTAGCCATGATTCATGAATTTAAAACAAGGGCCGTGGAAAGGCCCGTGTGTGCAGTGTTGGGGGTAGGGAGCAGCCCCTTGGGGGGTGGGGGGAGTCGTCCATGCAGGGGTTGAGGAGGCTCCGTTTGTGTGTGTGTTTGGGGCAGGGGTGGGGCTGGGTATACAGCAGAGAGGATGGCTCACCGTGCAACCCCTCATGCACTCAGTATCGGGCGCAAAGACTGAACTAGCTTCTGGCAGCAATAGGATGGCGGGGAATGGGGATGCTGGGCCCAGAAACCTGTTCCATGACCTCTTTGCAGTCATGAGAGGCTGTGTAGCTGCTACTAGACTTATCAGCTGGTCAAGGCCAAGTTGGTGAGTTCCTGGGGGTCAGGGGCTGGTCCACTTTACGTCCTGCTCATAACAAGTCTCTAAAAATGTCTATTGGTGTGGACTGGATTGATTTGTTCATTCAACAAACGGGGTCCTACCTGGAACAAGCTCAGTTAAGATCAACTATTCCAGCACAGTCTGACGATGATGTGGAAGCTTGGGGCCGCGGAAGCCCAGAGATAGGACCCTAAGCCACCTGGAGCAGCGCAGTCACGGAAGGCTTCTTGGAGGAGTAGACAGGTGAAAGGTGAGGGAAGAGCATCCAGGCGGGGGCAACTGATGGGGCAAAAGCATTTGGGCTGGAGACAGAGTTTGAAAGTCATGGCGTTTCCAAAGGCTTCCAACTAAAGCCGTGAGAACAGAAGGCCATTGAGGAGCAAGCTGAGAGAGGGGAGAATCTGGCGAGTAGCTCGCCGAGGCCCAGAAAGTAGCAGTGGGGAATTTCCCGAGAGGGATGAGCAGGACAGGCTACAGCTCTTCCCACACAAGCCCAGGGATGGGAAGACAAGCAGGGGTCAGAGTGGACCTGTGGTTCTCCCCCAAGAGGATGCCAGGATTCTGGGCTCAGCATCCTAAGAGGAGTGAACCCATAAGTTTCCTGGGCCTCATCAGAGGCAGTCTGGGGAGGCTGGGGCCCAGCCAATGGTAGTGCCGGGCACAGCTCCTCCTCCTCCTAGGCCGGTGGCACACCCAGGCTGCCTACCGACTCTGCCGGCTCTGTCCCAGGAAGAGGCTTCCCCACACACCCTCCCTGGTTCTGGTATGAGTTCGGACTGCCTGCGGAGTCTAACTGCCGGCTGCCAGGAGCTGGTACCTGGAGAGCCCTGAGAAGTAGCCACTCAGGTAAGGTCATCTGTGTTCAGAGGTGCCCTGCCCCTCCGCACACCTGGCAGAGGAAGCCTTCCCTGGTGGAGAGTCAGGAGAGGTGGCCTGGACACATCCACCACCCTGGGTCCTGATGGTGGAGGAACAGAGGGCTCCTCCCTTCTCTGCTCTGAGCTCTTTCCGCTCTCCCCAGCCAAGCAGAGGTGGGAGCCAGGGACTGAGTGGGAGAGGGGCTAACAGGGGGCCCGGGAGTTGAGCAGGCAGAGCTGCTCTGCCTGGGCCTGCAAAGCCCCACCCCGCCCCACCCCGAGTGGGCCGGACGGAGATGCCCTGGGGACTAAGAGCTGGAGCCTCCCTGGGTGTTCCCTGAGAAGCTGCCAGGAGTTCCACCCACCTTAGGCAGGACTGAGCAAAGACAAGCTGATGATTCAGAGCAAGAGCCCCATGTCCAAGTGGCAGGTGGCGTAGACGGAGGTAAGGAGCAGAGACACCCCCGGCCTCCCTCAACAGGGATCCGCCAGGTGCAGGAGGGAGTGGGCACAGACCAGACAGGCAGGCAGCTTCCCCCAACTTAAGGAAAGGGGTCCAGGCCCAGAGTGTAGGCTCTGGAACCAGCCTGCTGGGTTCAAATCCCAGCTTTGCTGCTCACTAGCTGTGTAACTGTGCGCAAATTAATTAATCACTCTGTGCTCCACTTGCCTCATCTCCAAGTTGGGAATAAAAAATATCATACCTCAGGGCCAGCCCAGTGGCGTAGTGGTTAAGTTTGTGCGCTCCACTTTGGCAGCCCAGGGCTTGCAGGTTTGAATTCTGGGCGCAGACTAATGCACCACACATCAAGCCATGCTGTGGCAATGACCCACATACAAAGTGGAGGAAGATGGGCACAGATGTTAGTCCAGGGCCAATCTTCCTTAGTAAAAAGAGGAGGAGTGGCAAGAGATATTAGATCAGGGCCAGTCTTCCTCACCAAAAAGAAAAAAAAAAAATCATACCCGTCATACAGTTGCCGTATTGTTTCCTGCCAAGTGCTCAGAACAGTTCCTGGCGCTGCATAAACACACAACAAACATTGGCTCTTATCACAGCCCTGCTCATCTGCAGCAGATCACACAGGGGGGTCAGGACAGCATGGTGACTTGAACGTAGACCAGAACTTGGAAGAGCATCAGGAACCCCTTACAGCAAGAGGCTGTGCAGACAGGCATCCTGGCATCCCGGGGGACCCAGCAGGGTCAGACCATGGTGCATGGGTCTCAGTGGACCCCTTGAAACAGGCAGAGGGATTCTGAGTGAGGACGTGGGCATCCCTCACTCTGAACAGCAGTGACATTCCTTAAATGGAGGTAAACCTGATTCCTGTGTGTCCATCACCCCAAACTCACCAGCAGAACTGACCAGAGCAGCATTTCCCATTTTGGTGTCTTGACAGATCATAAAAAAGCATTCTGTGGTCAAAGGAGTTTGGGCAATGCTACATATTCTGTCCACCTTTTAGGGATTCATCACGTGAATTTATTAACATGGTCAAGTAAACGAACCTCTTTAACTTTGCTGAATGCAGTGTTTGCCTACCTTTCTTGAACACAGAATCCTTTTCTCTCACTACTTCCATTGCCAGCCTATTGAACAGGGTTCCAGGGAACACCAGTTTGGGAAACACTGGAATACCAGGCTACTCTAGGAAGCCTATTGTATAAAGAGAACCATCGCTCTCTACCTTATCTTTCAGCTGGATTCCATTGGCCTTGCTTCAAGTGAGTCGCCCCTTAGCAGGACACTGCCTGGATATTTATAGAATATTAGACGAGATGGGAGTTGGGGGACAAGGTTCCAGCCTCCTCTGCAGCCCCATCCCCCAAGTCAAGGAAAGAGCAAGGGATGGGTCCCCTTGGGAGGGGGCTGTCTAAGGGGAGAAAGCAGTGCTCAGAAAGAAAAAAAGTCACCTCAAGGCTCAGTCCCCTGCAGAGGAGGGCCAGGATTGGAACAGAGGGAGAAGGCAGGATGCCCTACCTCCTTAAGCCTTCACTCTTCAGGACTGCAAGACCAGAGCCGCAGATCCTGGGAGGAAAAGGTGGCTCCCTGGACCCGCCTTCACCCACTTTTATGGGTAAGATTTGGGTCTGGACTTAATTACCTCTGCTCAGATCCCGGCTCTGCACCTAATAGTTGTGTAACCTTGTGTAACCCCGCTAAACCTCAGTGTTCTTCATCTGTAAAAAGGGGGCAATAATAGAACCTAGTTCCTCTGTGGTTGTGAGGATTAAATATGATGATCTATTTCTATAAAGTGTTCAGAGTGAGTACTCTATAAATGTGGGAAATTATTACTATCGTTTCCCTGCAGTAGCAGCCGACATCTGGGTCCGCCATGAACTGGGGGATCTTCGAGGGGCTCCTGAGCGGGGTCAACAAGTACTCCACAGCCTTTGGACGCATCTGGCTGTCTCTGGTCTTCATCTTCCGCGTGCTGGTGTACCTGGTGACGGCTGAGCGTGTGTGGAGTGACGATCACAAGGATTTCGACTGCAACACCCGCCAGCCGGGCTGCTCCAACGTCTGCTTCGACGAGTTCTTCCCCGTGTCCCACGTGCGCCTCTGGGCCCTGCAGCTCATCCTGGTCACGTGCCCCTCGCTGCTTGTGGTCATGCATGTGGCCTACCGGGAGGCTCGGGAGAAGAAGCACCGAGAGGCAGCGGGGGAGGATGGGGGGCGCCTCTACCTGAACCCCGGGAAGAAGCAAGGTGGGCTCTGGTGGACGTACGTCTGCAGCCTGGTGTTCAAGGCCGGCGTGGATGCCGCCTTCCTCTATGTGTTCCACACATTCTACCCCAAATACAGCCTCCCTCCCGTGGTCAAGTGCCACGCGGCTCCGTGTCCCAATATAGTGGACTGCTTCATCTCCAAGCCCTCGGAGAAGAACATCTTCACACTCTTCATGGTAGTCACGGCCGCCATCTGCATCCTGCTCAACCTCGTGGAGCTGGCCTACCTGGTGAACAAGAGGTGCCGCGAGTGCCTGGCAGCGAGGAAAGCCCGGGCCACGGGTGTGGGCCGTCGTGGGGACTGTGCCACCTCTTCCTGCAAACAGGACGACCTCCTCTTGGGCGACCTCATCTTTCTGGGCTCAGATGCTCACCCTCCTCTTTTACCAAATCGCCCTCAAGACCACGTGAAGAAAACCATGCTGTGAGGGGCCGCCTGTTCAGGCCTGGGTTGGAAGTTCCCAGCGTCTCTTAGGTGCAGCCTTGGGGGTGGGGGAGCAGAGCCGCAAGTGGGGGAAGGCAAGAGGGAGAGTCAGAGGCCCAGGATCAAATCCCTGTTCCACAGCCCCTGCCATCCGCCCCAGCTGTGTGGCCTTGGCGAGTCCCCTCTGCTCTGCACCTCAGTTTCCTTTTCTGTAAAATGGAGAGAATGAGCCCCCCTCACAGAGTTGTTGCTGTGGAGTGGGGGTCATTGATAAAAGAACGGATGCACATGTGCCTTCAGTGTGAGGGACCCATGTCAGGGATTAATAAAAGTCAACTCATCCACTGATTCAAGGTGCCCTTTGGTCCTTCAGCCTTTGTGACCCTTATCTGGTCATTGGGTCAACCTCTCTGCCCCTGCAAAGGGCTGCACTTGATCCAGCCAGGAAACCCCACTTCTTCTTGATCCCTCTTCTTCCTGTCTCTTCTCTGGTCGTCTGTCCTCCCTTCGGCCTGGCAGGACATTCCTTCCCCTCCTTGGGGCTTCCCTGGGGTTTCTCCAGGCATCCTCTGTCCCCTCTGCTCCTCCCTGAAGCCGGGCCCACATCCTGAGCTTTCCTGGGGATCCTCAGCTCATCTGGTCCCTGCTTCCCCTCCCAGTCTCCCCCAACTTGGTCCTCAATTTTCTTGGGTCTAGTAGCCACTCTCCTGTCCCTGGGCTTGTCTGTCTGCCTGAGGGCCTCCCGGAGGCAGCTTTTGTTTCTCACTCCCCTGCTGGGTGGGGCTTTCTGAGCCAATGAGCCAAGCAAGAGTGAGCGGGTGGGCAGGCGGGCAGGCAGACTTTTCCGGGCACATATTCAGAGTCAATACCTGCGGCGCTCTCCTGGCCCGCGCCTTCTCTCCAGCCTTGCAGGGCATGGCTGGGTCTGGCTCCGCGGGCTGGCAGGTATGTAGGTGAGACTGCAGTGAGGGGGGGCAGGAGCCTGGTATCCTCATGCCCGGGCCCAGGTCAGCAACAGTGGCATTGCCCCATCACCTTCCCGTTGCCTTATTCCCCCTTACCCCCCATCCCCAGGCCTCTCTTTTCTGGAAGCCTGGTTCTGAGGTTGTCAGCAGCTGACATCTATGGTAAGGGGCACCTTTGATTCAGCCCAGGATTGCATCCCACCCTGGTGGGGACATTTCTGGGGACTAGAGCTTGGGCTGTTGGTGAGTCATGTAGGGGCAGGGAGGGGCCGACTGTGGTTCCTCTAGACAAGGGTACCTGCTGGCCTGGTGGAGACAAGGAATGCAGATTGGCAACATGAAATGCCCCAGTTGGCATGGGGCCTGGCACAGCCTCACTGCCCATCCTCTATGGTCGTGGGCCTCTGGGGACAGCCTCCAGGGAAGTTGGAGTGTGACACGGTGGGGGGCTGCAGAGGGGCCTTGCACCTGCATCCTGGAGGCTGGGACAGTGAACGTTAATGTACAGCCAGGGAAGGGCTCCTCTGCCTCATTTCCCACAAGCATTTATCAAGCACTCCCTAATACCAATGATTAACATTTATGTGGCCTTTTACAGACGGCTAATCCTGTCCACAGCCATGAGCTCATCCAGGCCTCACAACAACCCCACAGTCATGGTATTACTAACCCATTTTGGAAAGGAGCTGAAGTCACTTTCCCAGAGTCCTGGTGGAACTTGGGTTCAAGTGTAAGTATCTGACTCAAAAGTCCGTGAACTTTCCACTGCAACACACAGCTCCCCCGTACCGACCTCCATTCTCCTTGCAGACAAAATAACTGGGGGTAAAGGTTAGACTTGAGCATGAGCAAGCATGACCCCAGGAGTGCTGGGGACCCTTTCCTGGGAGAGATGATGGCCTGTCACCTGGCTGGATCAAGTGCAGCCCTTTGCAGGGGCAGAGAGGTTGACCCGGTCCACACCAGTGCTCATCCACTCAGGGCCTGGGGGCCATGGGGCCTGGGAGAACCTGGAAATGGGTGCCCTTTATTAAAAGAGTGATTGGCAAAACCATTTCACAACCACTGTGTCATCATGTCCTCATTCTCAATGACTCGGTGGGGTAAAGACTGCCATTACCCCCACTTCACAGGGGAGCAAGCTAAGGCCCAGAGAGGCAGCCGCCCACGGCCCCACAGCTGGAAGTGGCAGAGCTGGTCTTGAACTTCCATCTTCCAGTTCCAAGATCAGGGAATATTTTATTCTATAAAGTAATAGATAAGTGTGGAGGATTATCGTCCTGCATGGATGTGCCAGCCAACCTCATTGACCCCAAGTTTCAACCTTGTGGGGCACGTGAATTTTAAAGAGATAGTAAGAAGGCGTGGATTGGATGGTCCACTCTCCCATCAGCCGCCAGGGCTGGACGGAGGCAGGAGGGGAGGGATGTGTATCTTTATCCTCCAACTTCCTCCAACTTTTACTGAACACCAACACAAGCCAAGCCCTGTGCTGGGTGCATTCACATCAGCTTCTTGGGCAGACCCCTGAGCAATCTCCATTCTCATTTGTCCTCTCTGGCCCCAGGATGTCCCCAGCCCTGACATTCCCTCCCAACTAAACCTGCTCTTTGAAACCATGGTGACTTGGCATCATCCCGCCATCCCCCACTGGGCCCCAGGGCTGAGTGTCCTGACCACAGTGGGTTCCTCTGGAATTCCAACCATTCCAGCTTTAGGGAGGGACTGGGGAAGGGACAGAGGCAGGATTCTGGTGGGGTCCTCCCCTCACCACTTACTTTCTTTCTCAGGGACACCTCCCTTCTCTGTCTGCTCAGCAGCTGTTTGCTAGCCAAGTCTCCCATAATTTCCATAGAGGCCCCTCTCCTGTGTGCTCCATCCTCCACACCCCCTCATCTGGAGTGCCATCACATTCCACCTCCTACTCAGCCCCTCTCCTCTCACCTCGTGCCCTGGGGACATTTTCTGAGCAGCCTCCTCATCTTTGGTGGCAGAATGGATCGCCGGTACTGAAATGGTCTGTTTCCTGTCTTCCATGCCAGACTGTCAGCTTCTGGAGGGCAGCCTCTACATCTCGTTCATCTGTTTCCCCAAGACTCTCCCCTGTGAAGTGGGGGTAATGGCAGTCTTTACCCCACCGAGTCATTGAGAATGAGGACATGATGACACAGTGGTTGTGAAATGGTTTTGCCAATCACTCTTTTAATAAAGGGCACCCATTTCCAGGTTCTCCCAGGCCCCATGGCCCCCAGGCCCTGAGTGGATGAGCACTGGTGTGGACCGGCCACGTGAGGAAGCAGGGACACCATCAGCATGAACTGGGCGTTCCTGCTGGGCCTCCTGAGCGGGCTCAACAAGTACTCCACGGCGCTGGGCCGCATCTGGCTGTCCGTGGTGCTCATCTTCCGCGTGCTGGCGTACGTGGTGGCGGCCGAGAAGGTGTGGGACGATGAACAGAAGGACTTCGTCTGCAACACCAAGCAGCCGGGCTGCCCCAACGTCTGCTACGATGAGTTCTTCCCCGTGTCCCACGTGCGCCTCTGGGCCCTGCAGCTCATCCTGGTCACGTGCCCCTCGCTGCTCGTGGTCATGCACGTGGCCTACCGCCAGGAGCGCGAGTGGAAGCACCGCCTGAAACACGGGCCCAACGCCCCATCCCTGTATGACAACCCGAGCAAGAAGAGGGGCGGGCTCTGGTGGACGTCCTTGCTGAGTCTCATCTTCAAGGCTGCCGTGGACTCGGGCTCCCTCTACATCTTCCACCGCCTCTGCCAGGATTACGACATGCCCCGTGTGGTGGCCTGCTCTGAGTCGCCTTGCCCCCACACGGTGGACTGCTACATCTCGCGACCCACAGAGGAGAAGGTCTTCACCTACTTCATGGTGGCCACAGCTGTGATCTGCATCCTGCTCAACCTCAGTGAAGTCACCTACCTGGTGGGCAAGAGGTGCCTGCAGACCCTGGGCCCCAGGCACCAGAAGTCTCGGTGCCAGGGTCACCTACCCGATACGTGCCCACCATATGCCCTCTCCCAGGGAGAGCACCCCCAGGACAGGAACTCTGTCCTAATGAAGGCCGGCTCGGCCACGGTGGATGCAGGTGTGTATCCATAACCTGCGAAGATGACGGCTGGGACCACCAGATCCCTCACCTGCTCCCTAAGGCCACAGCAGGGCAGTGGCATCTTTGGGGCTCAGGAAGTCCACCCAGAGGCCAGTGTGGGGGCAGTTCGTTTCTGAGTTCTGAGCCTCGGGGCAGGGAATATGATGGCTGGCGGGGATTTTATATACGGCGATAGGGTATGTCAAAACCCTTAATAAATACGATTTTCCCAGAACTTTGAAGACCAGGTGGGGAGTGGTGGGTAAGCCAGCAGGGGGGTTCACGACGGGCCTCAGAGAGGAGGCCAAGGCCATTCGGGGGGCACCTGAGTGCCAGAACTTCAGAGCCAGGTTCACCCGTCACACACACACACCCCACACACTCACACACAGAGTGTGCTCCCAGGACGTGATGGGGAACACCCAGAGGCTGCTCCAGAGGTCTCTGGACCTGCAACCAGCTGGCCCAAAGGAGGGACCCCAGGAGACCCTGTGCGCAGCATGAGTCCATTCTCAGTGAGTGTCCCTCTGATGAATGCCTGTGGCTCAAGAGGCCTCTGCCTCCCCCATTCCGGCCTCCCTAACCCTGCCCAGCACAGGTCCCGGGGAGGTGAGGCCCCTCTGAGGGTGGGAGGGGAAGGCTTGGTGGGGGTGGAATGATGCTGAGGTAGGTCCAGGATGAGGGGTCTGCCAGGGTGTCTAGGAAGCAGATCCCCATGGGCCAGGGACTCATTGAAAGTGTCCAAGCTAAAGGGTCACTCATGGATCCTCAAGTCTGAGGAATTTCTCTTCTCTTTACTGGATACACGTTCCGTCATCCTCCCCCATCCCCACCACTCAGACCTTGGCAACACCCAACACCACACCTCCAGCCTGGACCTGCCTCTGAGTCCCACAGCCCCCACCAACTGCCCTCGGGACAACCCTCAAGGAGGCCCCCAGGCACCTACCGCTCAGCTACTCCCAAACTGACCTTGTTGTCTTCCCCTAAACGTGCCCCCCTTGCAGATCACGCCCCCCGTGAATGGCACTGTCATCCGCCCAGTTGTCCAAGCCGTGAGCTGGCCTGACATCCTCATCCTTCCCCATCTGCCAGCGCCTCACCCCCCTTCCCAGTGCAGCACCAAATCCCAC